CTGAAGTAATTCCTTAACCCATTCTATTAATCTCATTTCAATATAAAATTCATAGCTTTCTTATGATTACAAATTTATACTTTTCTGCACTTGTTATTTCCAATTTTCATATGATACAAAACCTTTCAATCATTTGTATGGTTCAACTAGTCATTAATTTGTGAAATGATACTTTAAAAGAAAGCAATCCTTAAGGACAATATTTGGAACTCAAAAATTGATTCTAAATTTTATAACTTGCTACAACCACACTAGTGCACTTGCTGGTTGACTCTCTCTAAGTTGTATTATGTGCGTAACACCCGTTGCACTTCTAACTTGCCTATTGGGATCACCTTTTCCTTGCCTCTACATGCCACCTTTGTACCTTTTCCCCTTATAATATACCCTCTAAAGCTACACCAACCCCTATGGACACCAATATCCCCACTCTTGACTCCAACCCTAATAGGGACCCTAACATTTGTTTGTCTCGACAATCCTCACCTCCTCCTGAGCCCGAATGGATGGACATCAACGTGGTGGAGTCTTCTGTTCGCCCATCCACCTGCCCAGTCACTTAGACCATTACCCACCGACGAGGTTGGACCTTCCCACCATAGTCCTTCACCACCTACTCCCTTTTCACCCTCCCGCATATCGCCACCTACTTATGGCTAGTTAGAGGATGTAGATGGAGACCTACCTAACCTATTTGTTGAACCCCAATGCTTCCTTGTCTACCTCTTATGATTCTGACCCTTCAGAGGAGTACACTCCTCTCAATTGATGTTCTTAATCTTGTTTGTTTTGGGTCTGGGATTACCCGAGAGGTTATTTTTGGGAGTTGATGATGCATTTTGTTTCATTTTGGTTATATGATAGTATCCTACCTTGAAATGTAATAGTTATTTAGTACACTTTTTGCTCCCCTTGATGATTGGACAAAGTTTTTATTATGTGTATGTTATTTCAGGCTTATGTAACCCAACAATGATTGGGTGGATTATGACGGTTCTCCTTATAGTTGGAATATATTAAATGTTTGTGTGTGACATTACTCTTTAGTATGATTTAGAATAATACAGGTACCTAGATAAAGAGTAGAGAGATGAGAGTAAATTTCTCTTGCTTGATGTTGATTAAGTGATTTAACTTATTGTATGTTATATATGTTAACTCTCTTTTGAGGATATAAAGGGTGTTGTATGATTTTATGTGTATGCTCATTGTATGCCAAGTCTAGGATTTAAGTTGTCATATTTTGTCTCCTATTTTGGTTATCTCGATGCTTGATTGCTAAGGCCTCTTCAATAGCTCCTTCTTGTGCCACTGCTTTTGTGCTTGCAAGGCACTTCAAGGCTCTACTAGAGTAATTTAGGACAAGTTCTTAGTATTCTCTATGGTGGTGATGGTAGCCTCTAATCTTTCAGGTACAATTACAAGGATTTTGTAAACAATCCTCGAATCTACCAAAGAAGAACTCAACAACCTAACTCAGTTGGCTAAGAAGTCTTTCAGAATACTCCTTAAATGTCTTAGTTTCCTTCATCTTTTCCAGCTTAAAATCATGAACCAAATTCAACACCTACATTCTACAAATTCTTTTATCTCCTTTAAATTCAGACTTTACATAACCTTATCCTTTGTTACTTTAGAGTAGGGATGAAAATAGGTTAGGTTAGGCTAGGTTTTGCATAAATAAAGCTAGCCTGTTTAATAATTTTGAAGCTTAAGCCTGACCTATTACCTGTCATAGGCTTTTTATTAAACTTAGCCTGGCATTTTTAAAAGCCTGATTTGACCTATTAGCCTTTTTAATGGCCTACTTCATATTGGAACATTCAATAGGTCATTAAACCTTTATAAATAGTGTATTAAACCATTTAAATATGTATGTATTTTTAAAAGTCATATATCTATCCAAATAAACTATTAAAAAATGATGTAACACCTTGAATATGTATAATAAAATTACATATTCCTATTTATCACTTTCAAACTATATATTTAATTTAAATAAGTAAATCACAACACATAAAAAATACAATAAAATAAACATCAATTTATAATTATTAAGCAAATCTAGTAACATAAATCCTACACAATAAATTAACAAACACAATATAACTAAATAAGTTTAAGACCTAAATTAGCAAATGCAACAAACAAAAATCTAAAATGCATAAAATAATAATATTTTTTCATAGTAAATGAGAAGCAACAAATATGTCATCAGATCTTTAAAAAGATTTCTTCTTGTTATTCATTAACCTTCAAAATAAAGAAAAATATTATTAGAATAAAAATATTTTAAAAATAGCAATTACAAATATTTCTTTAAAAAACTTTTAGAAGTTATTACCTTTGATTTTCTCGTCAAATTATACTTTTGATGAAGTCAATCTCCACCACAAGTTAATGCTTCAATGACTCCTCCTTCAAATGAGAGTGATATTCATCAATAACTCTATTTCCAGCACTAAATGTAGACTCTGATGCCATGATTGAGATTTAATATACTATTATACTATAATTTTTATATAAAATTATTTAATATATTATTATAAACTTTATAAATTTTAAATAAGTCATTCTAATAGGCCTAATAGGCTTTTTCTTAAGCACAAGTTTGGCCTATTTAATTAAACTTTTTAAAATGCCTAAATTAAGCCTATTTAATTAAATAAGTTAGGCCGAGTTAGGCTTTAAAAAGGCTAAGTCATAGGCTCATGTTAAATGGTCTGGCCTATTCCATCCATACTTTAAAGACATTATTTAGGTAAAAATGGTTAATGAAACTACAGCAAACAAATAATATTTTGTCTTTAGATCTCTTTGTCTTCTTTTCCTTATGAACTTTGATCTAGCCAAGGCGAGATTAGTAGGAATTGCTACAATTTCATAGTTCTCTTCCACTACTTCCTAAAGATCCAAAGCTTCCAAATATGTCTTCATGCATGATGAAATACCAAATGCAAATGTCAAGTGGGAATGGTGAAGAATAAGGTATCTTCCTATATTATTCATTGTATCGCGTATAAGACATGTTGCCAATTCTTCTTATAGAATTTAATTATGTTTTAATATGCAAGTTCTTTGTTTCTAAAAACATTTAGAATAAGATTCATGTTTCCTTACAAAGGAATGTTCAACAACTTGCTTATATGAGAAATCAAATAATTAAAAAATAATATCATTGAAATTAAATTTTTTACAAAGGACTATGTATGATTATTAAGTATTATTAAATATGAATTCTTTTTTATGTAATAAGTAGGACTAGTTGTGGATCATTGCTTATGCAACCTTATTACTTATAAGTAGGACGTCAGATTTCTTACAAAGGAGTTAAACCAGATCCTTCCAAAATTGAGGCACTTCAATAGCCTAAACCTCAGAATCATAGAGACTTAAGAGGATTTCTCGGCCTTTAGGGGTATTATAGGAGGTTTATACACAATTATGGCAAGTTGGCAACTCCACTAACAGCTTTATTGCAGAAGGAGGTTACATTCTCTTGGTCTTCAGCAACAACAATTGCTTTTCAGTCCCTCAAACAAGCACTGACTTCAGCCCCTATATTGGCATTACCTAATTTTTCTAAACCTTTCACTATTGAGACTGATGCCTCAGGTATAGGAATTGGAGCTGTCTTTTTATAATCAAATCATCCAATTGCTTTTATTAGTAAGGCAATGGGACCAAAGTATCAACTTTTATCAACATATGAGAAGGAGTTTTATGCCATTCTCTTTGCTGTAAAGAAGTGGCACCACTATGTTATGGGTCAACACTTTATAATCAGAACTGATCAAAAGGCACTCAAGAAAATTTTGGAGAAGCCACCTACCACTTTAATGTAGAACTGGGGATTGGAGAAATTGCTTGGTTTGGATTTCAGTATAGAATATAAAAAGGGGAAAGAAAATGTAGTGGTTGATGCTTTATCCAAGCAAGGAGGTGAAGGCAGTTTAGCCACCTTATTGGTAGTTACTTCTGATCTAATGACTGAGGCAAAGGATGCATGGAAAACTTATCATAAATTGCTGAAGATAGTAGATACAATCAGACTAACACAACAGTCTTATAAGCATTACAACTTTGATGGGGATATTCTGAGAAGGAATGGTAGATTGGTGATTGGTGTGACATTGACCTAAAGAAGAAAATTCTACATCATTTTCATAACTCTGCTATTGGTAGGCACTCTGGCAACGATATCATTTACAAAAGAATCAAGGAGCAGTTTTATTGGAAAGGTTTACAAAAAGAAGTCAGAAAATGGATTCAGGAGTGTGGCATCTGTCAACAATACAAACCTTTACTTCAATCATCTGCATGATTGTTACAGCTATTGGATATTCCTAAACAAGCACGGAAATCAATCACTATGGACTTTATTGTTGGTCTCCCTAAATCTCACAATATGAGTATCATATTTCTGGTAATTGATAGACTGATCAAATATGCTCATTTTATGGCTTTGGCTCACTCATTTGGAGCTGCAAAAGTTGCTCAAGTGTTTTTTTATCAAATTATTAAACTTCATGGATGGCCAACTGAGATTATTTCTGATAGGGACTCTATCTTCATGAGCAAATTCTGGACTAAATTGATGAAGGCTTAGGGAGTGAAGTTACTCAGGTCTATTGCTTTCCATCCTCAGACAGATGAACAGACAGAAGCATTAAACAAATCAGTTGAAGCCTATTTGCGGTGTATGACAAGAGATCTTCCCAGGAAATGGTCCTCTTACTTGCCATTGGCTGAATTATGGTACAACACTAAATTTCACACAGCTATACAAATGACTCCTTTTGAAGCTTTATATGGGTATCCACCTCCGACTTATTCTGATACTACATGGCGATTCTCTAGTGGAAGCAGTTAACCATACAATGAAATCAAGAGAGGAGATCATGAAGCTTTTGCAATAGAATATCAGAATAGCACAGGAAAGAATAAGGTTGTATGCGGATTTGAAAAAAACAGACAAAAAATACAACTGTGGTGATATGATGTATCTCAAATTACAACGATATAGGCAAAACACTGTGTCTAATACTCATTTTCACAAGCTGGTAGCAAGATTTTATGGTCCCTTCAAAATTATTGAAAGAATTGGCAAGGTTGCATACAAATTAGATTTGCCACCATCAGCTAGAATTCACAATGTATTTCATGTCTCCCTATTGAAAAAGTACTATGGTGATAATGTGGTATCCACGAAACTACCTTACACAAATGAGCAAAGGTGTTGAGTGAATCATTTCAACAAAAACCATATATATTAGCAAACTCTTTTACTTGATCACCTGTGAAGACTCTACCTGAGTAGTACACTGACCTGGTTCTGACACGACCAGTGCCAGCCATTGGCTCATAAAATTGAGTCATCACGGCGAGTGGGCACCCTAAATGGAGCATTTCAACCTCCACCTCTAGCTATTCTAGATAGAAGAATGAAGAAGAGAAACAATAAGGCCATTACTGAAGTTTTGGTACAATGGCAGGAGACTAGCCTCGAAGATGCAGTATGGAGAGACTTGCAAGACATGATAACTCAGTTTCCTAATTTTAATTGGCATGCTAATTGATGGACTTGGGGTCAAATCCATATTTTGTAGGGGCAGAGAATTGTAATTGTTGAATATAAGGGGTATTATTGTAATTGTCAGCTATAAGGCTGGCTTAGTTAGAAAAACCGATTAATTCGGTCATTCGGTAAATAGCGGTGAGTTTTTTAAGGCAAATATAGTTAAAGACAATTGTATAAATAGAGGCTTAAGGTCTTTGATTGTATTCATTATGCACAATAATATTTTCAAGTTTCCTCTTCAATCTATTACATTGAGAGTGAATAAGAGAGTTGAGAGTAATTATTATCTCAGCTTTCACACACTAACATTGTTATTATCACAATTTTTTAATTGTGCAATATTACACAAGATATATATATATATATATATATATATATATATATATAGCATTTTCCTTGATTACATTTCTATACGGGATGGGAAATTATATATCATGTTACGTTACCCTAAAATCTTAAATCAGGTATTCATTCAGGAGAGAAGAAAACCTATACAACAGTTCGAGTCGGCCTTGCTTGGTTTGGTTTGCATCTCTAGATGCCCGTGAAGAAAACTGTGCATCAATTCAAACTTATGACCAAGATGTATTTTGAAATGCAATTTACTCAGCCATCATAGGGTTATGGCATGAGATTGGTTGAGAACTCATTGTCCATGCCTGCACTGTACATATTACTTTCAAGTTTCTATTCAGGCGTCTGAAGATTGTGGCAACAATAATTCCCAAGATTATTGTCATCCAGGAAAGAACCGATACTTGGCGCAAGACACTAGTGTTAATTGTTAAAGCAAAGGCTAGTACTTAATTGGTAAGCGTAATACAACATCAGGCAAACGAAAGCTCACTTAGAACACCAAAATAATTCTTTCCTAGAAGCACAATGGCTAAAACAACAACAAAACACCCTGCAAAGCCTCCATTTACCACACACACACACACTGCAAATACAATTAATTTTTCTGTTGATTTACCACTAGAGAAACGTAATAGCTTTTAATTACAGCCAATAAAATCCTTGGCTAGGCTATTCATTTCAGTAGCTATGTATGTCTGTTCTCACTGGTCAAACTGCTGCTACCTCCACCCATACGATTTGATTCCCCAACCCTGGCTGCCAAAGCAAGAACTTCAGGGGACATTTCCCAGCTTCCACTTTTTCTTCCCCAGCTAGATCTCCGGGGATGTATTCCGGCGCGATCACTCGTGTTATCTACTGTTGCCCTCATTTCTGGAGACAGTTCACCAAATTCCCCATCCTTAATAGCCAAGCGATCGTTTAATTGACCTTCAGGATGATCAAGAGCGGTACCCATGTCACTCCAGACTGTTTTCCTGCCCATCTCGATGTCGTCAACAGCTTTTCCCATACTTGGGCTCATAAAGCCTCCACCCAGTGATCGAGCAGGTAATACTGATTCCATTGGCACCTTTGCCCTGAAATTGTTCTTTGATTGGGGAATGCTGCTGCAGAAAATCTCTATGAAATTATTGAACACTCCTTTGTTATATGGGTTGGCGCGTCGATCATATCGGTATCTGAAATTCTCATATGTAGTCTGAAACAGCAATGGACAATATAAAGTGGTAGGTCCATTAGGATAGCTAGCTTATCTTTAAAGAATAGAGTTTTAAAATTAAATATATTTTTTGGTCCCTTAAAATACATCAAATTTTGATTTTAAGCCCTATATTTTTTATGTTTTTTTGTTTTAATCCTACATTTTCAAAAAATATTGGTTTTGGTCCCTAGTCACTATTAAATTATGACGTTATTAACTCAAATGTTGTCACATCAATTTTTGTGCCATGTGTTGCTTTTTTGTGAAGTCTCGCCAGTGAGAGGGGCCAAAACCAACAATTTAAAAATGTAGGTGTTAAAACTAAAAATATTATGGCCCAAAATCAAAATTTAGTATAAAGACAAAACATATTTAAACCAAGATTTTAAAAAGAGTAATTACCTGATTTGTACTTATCAGATATAAATGAAAGGCAGTTAGGCCACCAACAAACCACATTGATATGAAGGTGTAACCAATTAACACTATGGAGGCTGGGGTTTTGATCATTGCCTTCCAAATTGTTGTATTCTCTGACTCCATAATTCTTCTAATATAAACCCAACAAAATGCGAAAACATATATACAAAGTAGTGTAGTTGAGAAGACAAACATGAAGAAGAAGCGATAATTACGCTGCATAACAATTGTGCACGAATTCAGAGTTCTAGAAAGACGTAACAAATGACAACTGAAAAAGTCACCAAACCAGAAATAATACACAAATGAAAGGAAGATAAGAAAAAATGTTCCTACAATACCCTCTAATAGAAAAATGTAAACAGGGAAATAAACTTAAATTGTATATCAAGCCAAACAACTTTTATATTAATTATAAATTCAATCCAACATAAACTATGAAATTTTTCCACAAAAGTGAAGTGTTCCAGTAAGAAGCATTGTTTTTTGTGTTCACTGGAAGCAACACACAATTGGGTAGCATGTCTCCTCACCATAATTAATAAATCACCACCACCCAACAAAAATTGAACTTATTTCCAAGATAGAACTCAGAAAGTTTTCCTAAATTAACTTAGCATGATCATATTATGAAAGCACTGATACTATAATGGATAAATTTGAAAGGAAATTTGTCATAACAAAATTCACCTTAAAGGACAATATACTCCATCTATAAGCTGGATTGTTCTAAAACTTCACATAATTATGTATAGCCAAATGTAATAAACCTGAAGTAATATTATATTAATATAACTAACTGTGATGAATTAACGTTTGAGTTTTGACTCAAGGAACTTAAAGTAAATTTTGGATTTAAGATATTTAAAATTGACAAATTTCTAAAACATGTTGGATTTTCAAGCAGGGCTCATGTAAACCACTTCAACAAGTTCCAGGCTAACAACTCATCCATCTCTTTCACTTTCACAACTTACAGAATCTACTCATCCTAGATACTGTGCCCAGCATTTTGCCTAGCATAGAACATTCAGCAGACTAGATTCACAATTAAAAATCAACTGTCAAACAAAAAGTCAAACTTACCAGTCCAATGCACTGCCCAACCCAGGGGCAGTGGTGATCAAACCGTTCTACACAGTTATTACAAATTGAGCAGTGAGAGCATCGAGGAGGCCTATAGAGCATGCAAGTATCACAATACTTGACCTTAACAGTAATTCCATTGACCTCAACCTCCTTAATGCGAGGCAACCGCAATTGAGGAGTTTGACCAGCCCCAACATCTAGACTACCTTCAAAACCTTCTGGCTCTGGAGGATGTGCATTGCGTGGAATTATGCCAGGGTCTCGGCCAGATGTTAAAAATAGAAGAACCAACACCTGAAATAGATTATAGCATCAGCATACAGTTGGAAATAGTATATTTTAGAGCCCAAAGTCATCGAAACAAAAGTGATGCATCAGTGCCTCCACCTTGTCACACAAAAGTAGCCTGTATGATTATAAATCAGCACATAAGTCAGTGGTCATGAAGAACATATTTCCATGCTGGCAGCTAGTAATACAGGGCTATAGGCACCATAAAAAAGTTACAAGTAGGAGAAACAAATTCCTTCCAAACTAATTTGTAAGAGATGTATTAGTTTAGTCAGCAATCATACTCACAAAGGCCTTGTCCAGTTGTCCACAATTTGGTTTTGTGACTAAGACGACAAACTCACAAGTAGTTGAACAATTTGCATTGATAAAACCACCCTGACTTCAAGGGGGAAATGTTAGCGTGTATTAGTTAAGATCATTACCCTAGTAACTCTTAGGCTCTGTTAGCCAGTTAACTAGCTGCCAGCTGGAACACTTAGTTACACTTCAAAATATTTCAGAAAATACTCTATTTTTCTTTCTCTTTCTTCATTTTCTCTTGTTTCATCTCTGACCTAATTAAACTCGGTTAAATTTTCATGACACTCAAGCATATCCATATTGACCTATGATGGCATCATCAATATTGTCCAAATTTAGCTTCAAGGTTTTTCCCTGATTAGGGTCAGCCATCATCTAAACCAGAAGGTACTGAGGTGTTTCAGTCTTTGATAGAAACAAAAATTGAATTCTATTAACTGAGAAATCAGGGAGTAAAGCTCCTTGCAGCTGAGGAAGATTCCTCAAATAATAGAATACTCAAGAAAAGAAAAGAAGACAGTCACCAGCATAGTGAAGCTAACCCTTCAAAACCTTCACCAATTTTTTTCCTACCTCCCTCTCTCTCCCTTTTTTAATATTGATTCCCCAATCTCCTCAGCCCACACACCCAAGCTACTTGTCACCATCCAGTGATGATTCTCTCTCTCTTTGCTAAACCAAATCTTCTCAGATATTTTTTCTTTTTCCTTTCATATACCAGTAGGCCTTTGTTACTATTGGACCCATCATATTTTCTTCTTCTCTTATACATTTGTTAAGGGCCAATTGACTTAAACCCAATGAATTTTGGCATCTAGATGAGATGGACTAAACCAGTTACCCCCAGGCCATCTCCATTTTTACATTCACACAAGGAGATGTAAATCATATATCCTGATTTGCCAAGCAAGACGTGCTCTTGGATTCAGGGGTAAAATTAAAAATATAGAACAATGTGCAAACCAGATCAGACATGCACTTGGGTTCCCTGATGTCACTTTCTCTGGACAAAGATGTTAAATCATTGATCTTCAACATGCTATGAACACAAACTATATATGATTCTCTTGGTTAATTATATTTTACACCTAAGTCAAGCTTTTTCATAAAACCACACATCACCCAATTTTATTAACTAATTATGCTTTGAATTCATATGATATCCACCACTTAAACAACTGAAAATAATAAACTCCAGTAAACTATATGCAACCGGACTTGTAAAAAAAGATAAAATATAAACCTAATAATTACTAAATTAGATTGGAGTTGTACTAGCAACCATTGGATTATCGATTGCTTACGTCAAATACCTCAAAAAAGTTAGATTGAAG